TATAGCAAGCAAGTCATTTACTCCAATGTCCTCTGCCAGTATTCCTCTGAAACCTGCACTAGTTTTGTGATACAATGCCTCATCTTCTGATTTTAAGAGTCCTGTGGAGAAGAGATGTGCTTCCATTGCCATGTGTGGGCATAATTTTACCACCTTTTCTGTGACAGAATATCAGTTGCCCCCTGTAGCTACATTTTACAATTTCAAATAAGAATTTACAAAGCAAGAGAATACTTATGAATGGTAGGACCCTGGGAAGCACTGAAGATCGGAGGAACCTTGGTGTGAATGTGCACTGGCCCTGCAAGGCATCAGGACAAGCGTAATTAGAAGGCATATGGTATTCTTATCTTTATTTGTCAAGGCATAGAGTTTAAGAGCCAGGAAGTTATGCTGGAACTGCATAAAATGTTAATTAAGCCATACCTAGAGTATTGCATGCAGTTCTGGAATCGACATTATAGAAAGGTTGTGATAGCACTGGAGACGATGCAGAGGAGATGTACCAGGATGTTGCCTGGGTTGGAGAGATTGGACAGATGGGTTGTTTTCCTTAGATCAGAGAAGACTGAGGGGGGACATGATTGAGATGTGTTTAAAATTATGAATGATATAAGTAGGGTAGACAGGAAGAAAATTTCTCCCTTGATAGAGGGATCAATGACCAGGGGACATGGATTCGAGGAAAGGTGCCGAAGGTTTAGAGGAGATATGAGGAAAAACCTTTTCATTCTGAAGGCAGGGGGAATCTGGAATTCGCTGCCTGTAAGGGTGGTAGAGGCAGACGCCGGCATAACATTTAAGTATTTAGGTGTGCACTTAATGAGATTAGAATAGTTTGGTGAGGGATAGTAGGAACTGCAGCTGCTGGAGAATCTGAGATAACCAGGTATAGAGCTGGATGAACACAGCAGGCCGAGCAGGAAAGCTGACGTTTCGGGCCTAGCTGGCGACAAGCTGGGCTGGTTTTGGGACGTGGTCCAGCTTGTCCCTGCTTCCCTAACCTGTTCTTCCTCCCACCTATCCCCTCCTCCCACCTCAAGCCTCACCCCCATCTCCTACCTACTAGCCTCCTCCCAAACCCTTGACCTGTCCGTCCTCCCTTGACTGACCTATCCCCTCCCTAACTCCCCACCTACACTCACCTTTTACTGGCTCGATCCCCGCCTCTTTGACCTGTCTGTCTCCTCTCCATCTATCTTCTCCTGTATCCATCTTCTATCCGCCTCCCCCTCTCTCCCTATTTATTTCAGAATCCCCTTCCCCTCCCCCATTTCTGAAGAAGGGTCTAGGCCCGAAACGTCAGCTTTCCTGCTCCTCTGATGCTGCTTGGCCTGTTGTGTTCATCCAGCTCTACACCTTGTTATCTCGGAATAGTTTGGTTGTTTTTGACTGATGATGGGCTGAAGGGCGTTTTTTTTTCCTGTGCTGTAGACCTCTATGACTCTAAATGTGCATTTGAAATGAATTATAAAAGTTATGATGGAATAGAGTGTAAAATTTATGGGAGAAAACCAAGATGTATTGATAAGTAGTGTGGTGGATCTTAATTGTTGTGATTAAAATGATATATTGTTTATCAAAATTTTTGTTATAAAGGAATTTGATCAATTATGTTTATGCTTGCCAGAGGTTATACTCGGAAATGTTTAGTTCTTGAAATTCTCACCTGGTAATCAAATTTTAACAGGTAATGTGATATGATAGATAATTACTGAAATAACTGCTCAGAGGCCGTTATCCCATCACTGACTGACCCTTTTATTTACGTGTGTACAATACACTGGTTATGGCAGCCAGCTCGGAGACAGTCCCTGGACTGCAGAGATTTTGAATCCCCTGTTGAAATTGGTCAGCCAGGACTCCTTGATCGGCCCATGTTAACAACCTCCATCAAGGATCTCTGTCAATAAGATCCACCCGTTTCCAATCACTACAGTTACGTATATGCTAATTTACTATTGTCTGATCATTTCAAGCAGTCAGGTTTGCACTATGCTAATATTAATATTGTTGCTTTAAATGTGTGTTGAGGGAGGATACCCTGGAGGGATCTTACAGTGAGGCATTATGGGTAGAGCTGGGGACTAGGAAGGGAGCAGTCACAATACTGGGATTGTAGTAAAAACCTCCCAGTTGCCCACAGGCAGTAAAGGAAGAGATATGTAGTCAGATTCTAGAAAGATGTGAAATTAACAGGGTTGCTGTAGTGGGTGATTTTAACTTCCCCCATTTTGACCAGGGACTCCATTAGTGCTGGGTGTTTGGATGGGGAGAAATTTGTTAGATGTGTCCAGGAGGGTTTTTTTTTTTTTTTTTTTGAAACAGTACGTGGACAGCCCAGCAAGGGAGGGGGCCATACTGGACCTGGTATTGGGAAATGAGTCTGGCTAGGTGATCAAAGTTTCAGTGGGGGAGCATTTTGGGAATAGTGACAATAATTTCATAAGTTTTTGGATACTCATGGATAAGGACAAGAGTGGACCTCAGATGAAAGTGTTAAATTGGAGGAAGGCCAACTATAACTGAATTAGGTAAGAATTGGAGGATGTGGATTGGAAGCGGATGTTTGAGGGTAAATGTACAACTGACGTGTGGGAATCTTTTAAGAACCAGTTGTTTAGAGTTCAGGACAGGCACATTCCTGTGAAAGTGAAGGCCAGGAATCGCAGGATTTGGGAAGCTTGGATGACAAGGAAAATTATCAGCTTAGTCAAAACAAAAGGAAGCATGCCTAAAGTCTAGGCGACTAAAAACAAAGTCCTTGAAAGAGAAAGTGGGAAGAAGCTCAAATGGGGAATTAGGCAAACTAAAAGGGGTTAAGGAGAATCCCAGTGCATTTTATACATACGTTAGGAGCAAGAGGGTGGTTAGGAAAAGAGTAGGCCCACTCAAGGATAAAAGAGGGAGGTTATGTGTGGCGCCAGAGGAAACGGGTGAGATCCTTAATGAGTATTTCACTTTGGTGTATGCCAAAGAGAGGGATGTGAGGGATGTTGAGGTGAGAAAAAGGTGTGCGAATACATTCGGGCAGGTCAGCATAGTGAAGGAGTTGTCTTGAAATGCATTAAAGTAGATGTCCCCAGGGCCAGACATGATTTATCTGGTTACTGTGGGAGGCAAGGGAAGAAGTAGCTGGGGCCTTAACAGATATCTTTACACCCTCTAAGCACAGGCGAGGTTTCAGATTACCAATGTTCTTCCTTTGTTTAAGAAGGGAAACAGAGCTAATCCAGATAATTACAGGCTGGTGAACCTGATGTCAGTAGTGGGGAAGCTGTTGGAGAAAATACTGAGAAACTGGTTTTATTTACATTTGGAAGCGAATAGACTTGTTATGGTTGGCTGTATGGGTTTGTGCAGGGAAGGTTGTGTCTCACCCACTTGAGTTTTTTGAAGAGGTGATGAGTATTTGATGAGGGAAGGGCAGTGGGTGTTGTCTACATGGACTTTAGTAAGGCATTTGATAAGGTACCTCATAGCAGGCTGTTACAGAAGGTAGAGTCTTATGGGATCCGTGGTGAGCTGGCTAGATGAATACAAAAGTAGTTTGGTCGTTTGAAGACAGGGTAGAGGTGGAAGGGTGCTTATTGGAATGGAAATCAATAACTAGTGATGTTCCACAGGTATCAATGCTGGGACTTCTGTTGTTTGTAATATATATAAATGATCTGGAGGAAAATGTTGGTGGTCTGATTAGCAAGTTTGCTAATGACACCAATATTGGCGGCATTGCAGATAATGAGGATTGTCAAAGGATATAGCGGAATATAGATAGATTGCTGATTCGGACGGAGAAATGGCAGATGGAGTTTAATCCAGACTAATGCAAGGTGATGCATTTTGGAAGATCAAATTCAGGTGTGAAATATACTATAAATGGCAAAACCTTTAGGACCACTGACATTAAGAGGGATCTGGGCGTATAGGTCCACAGATCCCTGAAAGTGGCAACACAGGTGGATAAAGTGGTCAAGAAGGCATACAGCACCCTTGCCTTCATTGGCCAGGGCATCAAATTTAAAAGTTGGAAAGTCATGTTACAGTTGTACAAAACTTTAGTTCGGCCACATTTGGAATATCGCATGCAGTTCTGGCCGCCACGCAACTAGAACGACGTGGATGCTTTGGAGAGGGTGCAGAGAAGGTTTACCAGGATGTTGCCTAGTCTGGAGAGTTTTACTTATGAGAAGAAAGTTGGATAAACTCGGATTGTTTTCACTGGAAAGACGGAGACTGAGGGGCAACCTGATAGAGGTCTACAAAATAAGTGGATAGTCTGAGGTTTTTTTTCCCCAAGGGTGGAAAGGTCAAGAGGGCACTGGTCCTAGATGAGAGGGGAACGTTTAGGAGAAAAGTGCAGGGAAAATTTTTCACACCGAGGGTGGTGGGTGCCTGAAATGCACTGCCAGTGGAGGTGGTGGAAGCAGGCACGTAGGCAACATTTCAGGTGTATCTTGATAGACGCATGAATAGGAGGTGAAAAGAGGGCTAGAAACTGCACAAGGGCAATAACTAGTAGGTCTAAATAAGGGTTAGGATTAGGTGCAGGCTTGGGCCGCTGAATGGCTTGTTCCTATGCTGTATTGAATTGTACTGTACATTTCATTCCTGCATTTCTTCACTATTTTACTATCAAAAATAATGAAAAAAACACTAATGGAAATCGAATCTTCATGTTGGACAAATTTGACTGATATCGGCATTAAGAAAACTTTGATTTAATTTTTATGATACTGACTACAAACTTTACAGAATATGATTTTATGATTTTATATCAGTAGTTTGTGCTATTTCTGTTGTTCCTGTCTTATTTATATTGTTTCACAACTAACAGTCTGTAATACCAGCTAAAAATGAAGTCATGTTATAAAGAGCAATACCATTGATAAGTGCTTTTATTTTCGGCTTCAAACATACTAAATTGTGAAGACTGTGTGTTTGTAATACTGCAAAGTGTAATCATCTTGTATATTTATTGTAGACTGTTTGCATTTCAGGACTAAATTGAATTATACAGCTCCAACAGATGACGGCTCAGTGTATAAAATTATCCTAGATGGGATTTCTGGTGCTGTTATGCATGAATTATTGGATTATATGTTTAGTGGCCAGGTACAGAACTTTTGTTTCTATATTGACTTTGTATATCTTGTGTGTACTGTATTATGGCACATTTTGGTCTAATGTTTACTTCAGTGAAGGCAAAATGCCACCCAATACTTTTATTTTGAAGGGCGGCTGAAGAATTTTGGTTTTCTTTCCTGTTGATTGATCGATTGTGAATAGTGTTAGTCTAGCCTCATTGTTCTTTGGACTATTTAAAGAAGGCTGTACTGATTGTTTTTTAAACAGAATCTGAGTGTGATTTATAGAGCGCATGGTGATGTTCAGACACGTTTTGATTTTTGTACCACTAATGATCTTTTAATAAGATTTTGACAACTCCAAACGTAGACGAATGTTTATCTAGTCTGTTCTTAATTTGTTTTTTTCACACTTCAGTGAGAAGAATTAGTTACTATTTTGATAGAACATATTTCAAGGGTTGAATTGTGCAATCAAAATAGTAATCATTTTGAGAAGTGTAAATAAATATAGATTGAATACGTCCATCTTGTGGCAGTCTTTTGGGACAATCGTTTTGTATTATATTTTTATGATAAATGTTTTAATTTATTATTGCTTATAAACAAAAATAATACAAATGTCAGTTTCACTCTGAAATCATACTCCGCTTGTCTCAATGTAATGCTGTATGGTGGCTCGATCACTCACTGAGCAGTGTTTCAGAGATGAGTTAAGTCATTCAAGTCTGATACAAATGCTGCATGATTTGTTTAATGCCATATTGGCAATTTTTTTTACACTTGACAGACTGACATTCAAATTCTGGACATTCCTTGTTTCAGAGGGGCACTGCAGCCTGCCGTTTTCCCAAATAATTTATTAGATTTGACAGTTTTGAGCTAAGATTGTAGGACTAAAGCCTGTATCGTATAAGATTAGAGAATTCTTCTGTAAATGAAAAAGAAATAAAAGACTGATTTTTAAAAAGTCAGAATTAAGACCGTAGGTAGATGTAAACTATTCTACTTTGTTCTTCAGGATAATTAATTTAAGGAACTAGAATAATATATCAATGACTGGAACTAATATGTGATGTTTGTAATATGTAATGTTCTTCCTTTGTCCCCTTAGTCTGTGGTTACTTAACAAGTTTCCTATGTAGCTAAAGTATAAAATCGAATCCAGTCCAGTTTTTTCTGCTACTAATGATGAGGCTAACTTGATACAGAGTAGAATCAAAACTAAGTGAATCATGAAAAAGTCATTAAGTGGGCAAAGAACACAAAAAAAAACACACTTTCGTGCTTGTGTTAATCTTATAGCTGTCCCTGGGCTAAATTTTGCAGCAATGTATTGAGTGGTGGTTATGTGAAGAAACTGCAGTTTTCTTAAGTGGCTCATTTAGGAAAACTTTTTTTATTTTCAAGAAGAAGTTGCGCAAGTATGCATATAGTATAAAGGAATGATTTATTTTTCTTCTCGAGGTGAACTTCTGACTCCCAGCATGCTGCTTCTACCACTAACTTCATCTAACTCCCCTACTTCAGCACAACTGCAGCTGTAACCCTCATCTGTGTTGTTGCCTCTGAACTTCTTTAATGATCCCTGTAGAGACTTGAAAAATGTGGTTGCCAATGGACAACTTGTAGGAATCATACACAACTTTTGAAGTTTTAAGAATTTGACTGTTTCGGATAAACTAAAATTAACATGGACTAAACGTTACTGAGTAGGCAACTAATAGGCTGAACTACAGAAAATATAACCCATATGACTGATTTAGCGCATGTCACATTTATACATTATAGCATACTCTCAACAGAATGAGTCTTTATTGGAAAAGTCATTTTCTAGCTTCCAATGGGATCATTTCTCCCCATTTCACTGAATCTCAACTTCTGGCTGACTTGGTGAACATCATTTACTTTGGTTTGCTGAGAATTCCCAAATCTATGTCCAGCAGCACTCACTAGCAATTTGTTCTTTCCACCTCCCAGTACTAACCTTTCTGTGACCTTAACTCTCTGCAGATTCCTTCAGTGCCAAGAGAACAAGCTTCGCTAGCATTCTGCTCAGTAACTAGCAGAGAACAGTATTCCTCCTGCTGCTTGTAGTGGTTGCTTTTCCCCTCTTCTTGTCTATGTCCAGTATTTTTAATTAGACTGCACAAACCAAGAACAGCTGCCTTAGAGTCTGCAAGTCGATCAGTGGCAAAGCCATAAACTCTGCTCTTTGTTTTCTGTTATTAAACCTACCATGTGAATATCAATAATATTTGACCAGGGATGCCTGTATCTCTGGTAACTGAGCTAGACAGGCTTGAGTAGAACCTGTAGTTAGACACCATGAACCTCTTCAGCATTCCATTGTCCATTGGATTATAAAGTCTTTTTTAAAAGGGAACCCTCCTGTGAAACCTCGCATCCGTAACACGTGATTTTTTCCTAGCCCACCTCCCATCTTCCACCCTACACAATCTTGTGCTCAGCCAAAATCTTACTGCCTGTATCTTAATTCATGTCAAGTGCCATTCATCTGTCATCCATGTTTACTGATCTGCATTGGCTACCAATCCAGCAACACCTCAGCTTTAAAATTCTCGTCCTTCTTTGCACGTCACTCTGTGGCCTCATTCTTCAGCCTCCTCCAGTAGATAAAAATGTTGGAACTCCCTAATTGATGGCTTTGTGCTCTTCAAGTTACCTCTGTCCTAAGATCTGGAATTCCCTCCCTGCCTGTGTTTATGGGCCTTTAGGATAGTCCTTAAAAGTTTGACCAAACTTTACATTGTCTTTCCTGACAGTTTCTTCTGACACTTTGTCAAATTTTGATTGATAATGTTTTATGAAGCACTAGGCCATTTTATTGTGTGAAATGCACTGTATAAATGAATGCAAGTTGTTAACTTCAAACGACCTCTGATGGGAGGACTACTCAGAGCAAGTGAAGATTGATTGTAGTTAGAAAATTGTGGCTGTGGCTAGCAAGTGAATAAACTGTAAGTTGTAGGAATATGAAATGAAAATTTGTTCAATGCTTCTTGAGTTTGTGTTTATTCAACCACTGTTTTCTTTCTTTCAGATTAAGCTGAGTGAAGACACTATTCAGGATATTGTGCAGGCTGCAGATCTTCTCCTCCTTACCGATTTAAAAGCTCTGTGTTGTGAATTTTTACAAAGTTGCATTGCCCCTGAGAACTGTATTGGTATACGTGATTTTGCTTTACACTACTCTTTGCAACATGTATACTACATTGCTACTGAGTATCTAGAAACACACTTCCGTGATGTGTCTCATACTGAGGAGTTCTTGGAACTAGGCCATGAAAAAGTGAAAGAAGTTATCTCTTTAGAAAAGTTGAATGTTGGAAATGAAAGGTACATCTTTGAAGCTGTGGTAAAATGGATTTGTCAAGATCCTGTAGTTCGAAAGGTATTGAAAAACTAATATTTTTCTTTCTACCGATGATCATTTTACTAACGTTGTAAATTATCATGTTTTTCACTACTCATTTAATAAAACATTTTAGCATTGCATGATACAAGGAGGTTGAAAGGAAATTTGATTACGTTAGCATTTTGTTATGACTGCTGGCCAAGAAATGTGAATGTCAGCAAATTGAAATATACATGACACACCCAGAAATAATGTTAGGGCAATAATGTGATTGTTGTGTTCATGTATTCTCATTACAGCATGAAAGGTCAGCTAAAGACAGATGTATCTTACTTTAAACCCTGTACCACATTCCCTTTTCATGTTCCTACCCCTTAACTTCATAGAACGTAGAAATAAAGGAACAACAGCAGACACTTCTAGGCCTTTGAGCCTGCTCTGCTATTTTAGCTGATGGTTGAACATCAAATTTAATACTCTATTTCCATGCTATCCTAATATCCTTTGATGTCATTAGTAACTAAAGCACTGTCAGTCTCTGTCTTGAACTTATTTAATGACTGAGGTTCCACAGCCCTCTGGGATAGAGTTATAAAGGTTCACTGCCCTCTGAATGAAGGAGTTCCTCTCTGGCTCAGTCTTTAATGGTTTGCCTTTTATTTTGGTACTGTTGCCTCCTAGTTCTAGACTCCACAGCCAGCAAAACCGACTCTATCAATCCCTCTGAGATTTCTTCTCATTCTTCCAAACTCCAGGGAAGATGAGCCCAGTCTCCTCAATTTCCCCTTTATTGGAAGTCTTACCATCTCAGGAATCAGTCTTGCAAACCTCTGCACTCCCTGTATGGCAAAGTGTGGTGCCCAGAATTGGACGCAATGTATTGGCTAGGTCTGAATTAGTGTATAGGCTTTGCTCTAGTTTCTCTATCTGTCTAATTATAAGTAAAACCTAGGAATGAAATGTTTTATCAACTTCTTTATTTCCCTCGCTTGTCATCTTGACAGATTTGTGCAAAACACCACCTGTCCCACTCATTTTGTGATTGCTTTATTTGAGCATTTTTTTATTATCAGATTGTTGTTAGTGGGAGTTTGTGTGTTCAAATTGGTTGCCATGTTTCATACGTTACAATTGTGAATACATTTTTTTTAAAAAGGACATGCAATAATGACAACGTGAAACCTGTATGGGTAGAGCTGAGAAACAGAGATGCAAAAAACATTTGTGGAGGTTGTATATAGACTCCCAAACTGTAAGGGTGATGTCACAAATGGCATTAAACAGGAAGCTAGAGACACATGCAATAAAGGACCATCAGTAATTATGGGAAACAGGAGCACCCAGCGGAAGCCCACGCAGACGTGGGGAGAATGTGCAAACTCCACACAGACAGTTGCCTGAGGGTGGAATTGAACCCAGGTCCCTGGCATGCTGTAGTAGCACAGCAGTGCTAACCGCTGCACCACTGTGCTGCTGTATGGATGGAGCACAGCAAAGGTCTGCCAGACTGATTGCTGTGATGGCGGGACTTACATTTTAGGAGAGGTTGAAACTGTCAGGATTACATTCATTGGAGCTCAGAATAATGAGGATGATCTTATAGAAACCTATTAAATGCCAACAGGACTGGACAGGGTAGATGCAGGAAGGGCGTTTCCAATTGCAAGGGAGTCCAGAACTAGTGGTCTCAATCTAAGGATATAGGGTAAGCCATTTAGGACTGAGGTGAGGAGAAATTTCTTCAGTAGTGAAGCTGTGCAATTCACTACTGCAGAAAATAGTTAAAGCCAAAATACTGGATGACTTCAAGATGGAGTTGGATTTTGCATTTGGGGCTAAAGGCATCAAAAGCTGCAGGGAAAAGTGGAAACATGCTAGTGAATGGATGATCAGCCATGATCGCAATGTATAGCAAAGTAGGCTCGAAGGGCTAGTGGCTTACTTCCACTCCTATTTTTTATGTTTTGATGTTTAAAGAATGCAACAATTTCCTGAGGTTGTGAATTGCACTATATAAATGCAAGTTCTTCGTTATTTCTTTCTTCTGTGTAGTAGGGTTACAGAAGGAACTGACACACTGGGAGCATTATTCAAATGTATTGTTCAGTATCTTCCACACCAACACAGGAAATGTTTAATCTATTATGTATAGTTGCAAAGAATCATAGTTTTATTTGCATTTGCAATTATGTATGCAAAATATGCAGGAAGTCATTGGAATTATCTTTGTATGGGGAAAAATACAGCATTCACTGACATGACTTAATAATGACCAAGGCTTATTGTTAACACCCAACTGTGTTAAAGTTAGCAAGTGATTCAAAGTGACAAAATGTAATATTGCAATAACTATCTACTTTGCAGTGCCACAAAACACTTCTCATTGTCATTACCGCTGGATGTTTCTCTTTTCATCATGGTGCTAACAGATAATTCTTTTGTAACACTGTCACTAGATAAAATAACCTGCGTACTGGCAGTACTGCCCAATAATGGTGGCATAGAAACAGTTGTGTCCACAGGCCCATTCCATTTTAATTTGTCAATGTGACTTGTTTAAGTCATTCTGCTCAGTCTGCATTGATGATTTCAAACTACTTCTGTGGGCTTTTTGAGCTTATTTATTCTTGTTCCTTCCTTGTAGCTTATGATGTTTTAAGTGGTCTATGTGAATGAAAAATGTGGGGCAGAATGTTCCAAGTTTGGCAGGTGTATAGTGTGCTGAGGATCCTGGGATACCATGTCTTCAGCAACTGTGACTGCTGCATTAACAGTACACCCCAGTGTCCTAGGATTGAGGAGCTCAGCCAAGTGTTAATTGTGGGGTGGGAGTGCAGTCTTCTTGGCATCTGTCAATTTCACCTGAATGGTTCAATGATTGGAGAAGATTGGACAGTATTATTGTGAGTAGCAAATTGTGAGGTTAATCATTTTGCTAAGAAGAATCAACTGAGACACAAATAAATGTTGGTGCTCATAGGAAGTTAGATTTTGTGTCCTTGTACATGAATCAAAGGATGTTCACATGCAAGTACAGCAAGCAATTAAAACAAATAACATGTTGGCTTTTGTCAAGAGGGGATCAGAATACAACAGTTAGGAAGTCTTGCTGCAAGTGCTTTGCTGAAATCGCACTTTGAGTACTGTGTACAGTTTCGGTCAGGACACCTGAGGAAGACCAGAATTACCTTAGAGAGGGTGCGCTTGGTGTTTACAAGATTGGTTCTGTGATGAGAGGGTTGCCTATAGGGAGAAATTGAGTGAGTGTCTTTAGCCTGCAGACTCTGGAGTTTAGAAGAACGAGTGTTATCATTAAAACAAGTTTGAGCATTTCACAAAGTATGTGTTATAATAGGCTCTTTCCTCCACCTGCAGAGTCTAGCGTAAAGGCACTGTAGAGCTATTCTCTAATGAGAGAGATGACTATTGGTGGCTTAACCTGAAGGTCACCATGCGTCAGGGAAGGATGAGTCTAGTGTGTTGCAGTAGGCAGTCTTGGCAATTGAGGTTGGTCATTTAAGACGGAGATGAGAAGAAATTTCTTCATTGAGGCTCAGAGGGCTATGATGCTTTGAAATTCTCTGCCTCAGAGGGCAGTGCATATTCAGTCATTGAGTTTATTTTAACCTGAGGGCTTTAAGGAAACCTACATGGATGGGAGAATCAAATGTAATATTTCCATGTTTGCTAATGACTCAAAAATAGTTGGAATTATGGGTAATGAGGGAAATATGAAGAGGTTTCCAGGCAATTTAGGCAAGTTGAGTCGGCAAATGCACGGCATTATAAAATAGCGAAGTGTGAAGTTGCCTACTTCGGTAGGAAAAAAGCATTGTAGCCAAATTCGTTAAATGATAGTTTAGGAAATGTTGATGTACAGAAAGACGTGTGTGTCCTTGTACATTGGTCACTGCAAGTTAGCATAAAGATGCAGCAGACAGTTACAAAGGCAAATGGTATGTTGGCCTTCATTGTAAGAAGGCTTAAGGCTGGTCCAGAACAAAGGCTCACACTCTCAGGATATATGGTAAGCCATTTTGAACTGCAATGAGAGTTCCTCATTCACAGCGTGGTAAACCTGTGGAATTTTTTTACTATGGAAGACTGTTGAGCCAAGTCACTAAATATATTTAAGAAAGACATAAGTCTTTCCTAGGGGCTAAAAGTGTGGAGAGAAATGTGGAGATAGCTGGAGTATGGCATTTGATTAAAGGATCAGCCATTTGCAAAAAGCAAGCTTCTGTGAACAGCACTGTGATAGTGACTGGAGAGATAAATATTGGCCAGGACTTGGGTGACTATTTCCCTGATCTTTAAAAGAGTACCTTGGAATCTTTAATGTCTGTCTGAGTCAGCAAACCGATGCAATCGGATGTTTAATTACTTGCCTGAAAGCCAGCCCCTCTGACAGTACACTGCTTCCTCAGGACTGCACTGGAGTGATAGCCTAGCTAAGGAGTTTTATTCAGCTATCCGGTTTTCTTAGTTCTTTTACAAATTGAATAGTAGACACAAAAATTCCTTAGCATACGCTGAGTTGTGGATTTAGCAAGTCTTCTATTTTTATAGACATCTGAACACCAGTTTGAATAGTACCTCAGAAACAAAAACAGAAATTGCTGGAAAAGCTCAGCAGGTCTGGTAGTATCTGTGGAGTGAAATTGGAGTTAATGTTTTGGGTCAAATGACCCTTCCTCAGAACCTCAAAATAGTACCTCATTTGTTTTGGGAAAAGTAACATTCCATCTGATCTTTATGTGCAAATATTTCTTCATAGTTCATTCAGGTATCAGTTGTATTCAAATCATCATTTTAAGTAATCAAATAAACATTGTCCCTAGTAGCAGTGATGACTGAACCTTTCTTATATCATGCATTCTTTCAAAACTAAAATGCAGAAATTCAGCTTTATGGCATTCACAGGACCTATCTTTTTGAAATTGGATGAGTTTGAACATTGATAGGGGCAGCTCAGTGGTTAGCACTGCTGCCTCAGCACCAGGGACCTGGGTTCGATTCCACCCTCGGGCGATTGTCTGTATGGAGTTTGCACATTCTCCCCGTGTCTGCGTGGGTTTTCTCCTGTTTCCTCCCACAGTCCAAAGATGTGCAGGTTAGGGTGGATTGGCCATGCTAAATTGCCCCATAGTATCCAGAGATGTGTAGATTAGGTGGGTTATGAGGGATGGGTCTGGGTGGGATGCACTGAGAGGCGGTGTGGACTTGTTGGGCCGAAGGCTCTGTTTCCACACTGTAGGGATTCTATGATCTATTAATGATTAAGTCTGGCATAAAATGTGCTTCAGTCTTTCAATCATTTTTTCCCTTCCGTCCCTCATGAAGACCACTATACACTACACCAACACCAGCACCACCACTCTTTAATCTTCCCAACTGGAACACTGAATAGGCTAGTGGGCAGTCCCCATGCTGCATGTTTGAAACTCCCACACTCATGCGTACCCACATACACCAGGATGAGGAATTTAGTACAGAAACGGGATATAGTAAAGGAATATCAACATCATGGTACTAAGCAGCATGTTAACGTACTGACTCTTTGTTTACTCCTGCTAGGTCTGTGATACTTAAGTTTAGCGTATATCCACATAATAAAATTATGATTACTTAAAGTAACCAGCAGTGGTATTGTAAATAATTATATTAGCAGTGAGTTTTCTAATTAGCATCCTATTACTAAATGATGTTACTAAATATCAAAAATACTCGACATGTTTGAATTCTGTATTCTAAGTAGAAGTGTACTTGTTTGAAATTTGAAAATTAGTGATATATATTTTCTTAATTCTATTTTGTGACACTCAGATTTAGAACTTTACAATAACCTGTGTGTGTGTGTGTGTGTGTGTGTATAGGTTTTAATTTAAATGTCAAGGTCTAATTTGAAATTTCAATGTCGTATATGCAGGATTGGTTTTTGTTGAGTTCAGTAAAGATAATTCTGTGATGCAGGCACAGTACGCAATAACTATGAAAAATTAATTTCACATCAACATGTTGATACCGGAGTTGAAAATTCATTTCCAGTCTCAGATAATCTCAGCAAAAATATGTAAGTTGATATTGTCTGGTTAGTGCTGTAGCTATTTTTCTATCTTTAGTAATCAGCTATTACCTTTCCTGTACTGAAGGTGGCGACTCATGCTAAGATTTAACTTTGCTGTAAGCTGTAACCTTCCTCAAGTGGTTTCTTTTATAAATTAACCTGCGCATTATTGATGACTTGTACAGGCTAAGAGGATTCTATTTTTGGTTGATAACTACAAGCATACACTTAAAATTTAGTACATCATTCATTAATTTCTAAAATGGTTTTCTTTCTTCTGAATTATTTTGTCATCCCAGACAGATGAGTAACTACATTGTGTATGAAAGTAGTTGGAATGCAGCTTTGGAGATGAGAAATGACTACTCCTATCTCCCTACCACCTGTCTTTTTTTAGTGTCCAATGACCAATAATACCTCTTCGAACCAGGATAGACTGCACCATTTTGGGATCAAGATGAAACATCTAGCAAAGAAATATTGGAACCAAATCAACCCAAATCTTGAAACCGTCTGTGGCCAGTCAGCTGCACAGCACCCCAGAAGACTGTTTGGGTTATCTTTCTCCATTGGTTATTAGTCTCTATTTCAAACTACTGAGCAATCTGGACCCATTTTTAGGCCTAATGTGTTTAGTTTACTGTGTGCAGTTAATCTGTTTTGGGAAAATATGCAGCCCAAGTCACTAACAGAGTCTGAAATTGTAGACTTGTCACTTGAAGCTTCTTAACCACCTCCAGGTAATCCTGCAGACTGTTGCCCTGATAGGGTCCTTAATGCTGGTCTGCTTATCTGTACCTAAACACTATCGGTGTCATGTGTCCCTCTTGTAGGGCACACTGAATATTGTTTAGATTGAAACTGAGCAGGTTTGCTTTGGTAGTTTAAATTGGAGATACTTAAATGTCGTGCATCTTAGATACCCAGCTGCCTCACAAGAATTGTAGATATCATCACTTGGTTTACTTTGCTTTTTTCCAGACTCTGGTGAAATTCTTTCTCTTGTTAGGGCATTCTAGTTGATGGTTGTTCCCGAGTCAAAGTTTGGTCTTTGTATTTGAAAGGTGCTGAATACAATTTAATGACTAAATGTTGACCTTGTTTATCTTTACTGAAATAACAGGAAAATGAGGGACTGGTTGTTGGAAATTGGGAATTTGCAGATAATTATTAGATTACATGTTTTCATAATTAAATATCTAATCATTTTAGGTTCACATGAAAGATGTGATGTCGATGGTTTGGGTCAATGGTCTGGATCCTAGTTATCTGAGAGAACAAATGTTGAATGAACCTGTGGTACGAGAAATTGTCAAGGAGTGTACCAATATTCCTCTCAGCCAAAGAGAAGGAGAGGCTCAGCTAGCTACCTTCAAACCTAGAGGGTATTCTGAATGTATAGTGACGGTGGGAGGCGAAGAAAGGAGGTGAGTCCAGCCTAATCGGCTCAAAATAACTGCCTACTTTCTGGCAACAATGAAGTGTCTTATTATGTAATTCTCAAATCCTGTTTTTTTTCTCCCCACCCTGCACCCCCCTCCTCTCAGTCTTGCAATTGCCAAAGAATTTTATTTGTTTACATGTAATGACGTAAATATGATAAGTTGTGGTAAGCTGCATTTTAAACAACATCACAGAATTATTACATTGCAAAAGGAGGGCATTTGGACCATTGTATCTGCTCTGGCTTTCTGAATGAGCATTATGACCTAATGCCATTCTTCTGTCTTTTTCCCTATAAATCCTGAATGTGGTATCTATTTAAGTAATCATCTAATGCCCTTTTCCAGATCCTAACTACTTGCTGTATGAAGATAGCTTTTTCTCACTTCACATTTGTTTATTTTACAAATTACCCTATACTCTCTCATTCTTGATCCTTCCATGAGAGGGAACAGCTTCTCTCTCTGTATGCTACGCATTCCTGTCCTGGTTTTGAAAATCCCTATGAGATTGCTCTTGACCTTCTTCTTCTGTCCAAGTCTTCGAACTCATTAGTTCTGTAGTTGAACCCTTTAGGACACTCTTTTTGCAGCACTACAATGTCTTCTGAAGCAATAATGTCACCTGTTTTTTTTCAATTCCTGTCTTTTTCCATTCCATTCCTACCATGTAACCGAAAATATTTAACATCCAGCCCTACCTTTCCTTCAGCCATGTCTTTGTTGTAACACAACATCATAGTTCCAGGTTGTAATCTGCAAGTGTAATTAATCAGTATTTTTGACCGTACTCTGCATTCACATACATTCTGTGAACTCCTGATTTAAACTGCATTTCTCTCTACCTTTCTGCAAGTTCACCTATTAGCCTAGTCCAATTCTCTATTCTGATTCTACTTGTCTCTCCCTGTATTTTGTCAACCCTAGTATTACTTTCTAGTATGTTCTCCTGGTTCCCATACACCTGTCGAATCAGTTTAAAATCTGCCAAACAGCAAACACCCCACAAAGAACTTGCTCTGTTCAGCTGCAATTCAGAGCCGGTCCCACAGTCCCTCGATTGAAAGCCCTCCCTCCTGCACCATCATTCGAGTCACTCATTCATCTGCCTTATCCTCCTATGTATGTACTCATTTTCACATGTCACTGGGATTAATCCAGAAATTGCTACTTTTCAAGTGCTTCTTGTTAATTTTCTACCAAGCTTCCTAAATTCCTACTGTCGGGTCCACATCTTTCTTCCCTCATATGCTGTTGATATCAACTAGGACCCTGTCCTCTGGTAGCCTCCCTCTCACAGAAGAATGTTCCGCAGCTGCTCTGTGACATCCTTGACCTTGTTATCAGAGAGGCAATGTGCCATTCTGGAGTCACATTCATGGTCACAACAATGCCCATAAGTTCTCCTGTGTATTTTCCACCTTGTACAGTTGGATCACCTATGGTGCCACAGGCTTGGATGTTGCTACACTCTTCCAAGGAATCATCACCTTCATCAGTATCTAGACTGATCAGCAAACAGGACCTCGGGAGACTCCTGCACTACTTGCCTACCCCACTTTGACTGCCTGCTGGTCACCCATTCCTTATCTGCTTGCATGCTGCTACTGTGCAATGTGATCATCTCTCTGAATGTGCAGTCCACAAAGTTTTCTGTCACCATTCAAAACCATAGCTCAAGTTTCTCCAGTAGGTGAGACAGATAAGCATATGCTTATCTAGGTCACGTGAAGTATCCATGATTTCCCCTGCACGCGCCACATGCGCGCATGTGTCACAGAGCTATACTTTTGCATTATTGACTAGGTTGATTTTAAAAGCTTATGTTTCTTGACTTACTTAAAGCACCTGTCTTCCGGCTATGCGCGGAATTCCTCCTTTGAATCAAATTCTTCAACTACTCGTTTTATCTTGTCTCACTCTGGCATTTTATGACCTTTACTGATGCGTAGAAATGATGCATAGTTTAACAGTATAGCACACGTGGTCAGACATGGGCATGTGTCGGTGGAATTCCATGTAGCCAGTTTCTTGAAGACCATTTGCATTAATTCTGGAACACAACTAAGTCAGTTCACACTGTTTAGTATTTAGAGTCATACAGCACGGAAACAGGCCCTTCAGCCCAACTTGTCCATGCCCTTCTCGCTCCTTAAATGTGTGCCCTCTAGTTTTGAACACCCCTCAATACTCCTTGAAACCTCACTTTGTAAAACTGTTAGTAGCTCTAAACAACTACTGCACAGTCTGGAATTTGGCTAGGCCATTGATGCATGCTGTCAAAAACTGCTGTTGTAGTCTTGCCAATAGTTGAACCATGTAAGTCAACATAATGGGTTTTTTTCCCTTCTCTCTGTAAACATGGTTTTGGGCTCCCCTAATCTAAGGAAATGACCTTGGCTGTTCATTTTATCCGTGCAGCTCATGATTTTATAAACCTCTATAAGGTCACCCTCGGCCTTCTATGGTCCAGGGAAAAGAGTCCTGGCCTATCTAGCCTCTCCTTATGACTCAAACCTTCCAGTCTCGGTAACTTCCTTGTGAGTAATTTCTGCACCCTTTCCAGTTTACTAACGTCTTTCCTATAGCAAGGCACCCAGAATTGTACGCAGTATTCCAAAAGTAGCCTTACCATTGTCTTATACAGCTGTAATGTGATGTCCCAACTCCCCTTGCTCCCTCACTCTCTCCTCCCACCCCTGTCCCCCCTCAATGCATTCACACCTTTCCTATAATGTGGTGCCCACAACCGTACACAATACTCGAACTGAGGTCTAACATGTATCTGGTACAAGTTCAACCTCACCACCTTGTTCTGTAGTCTACGCCCCCTATTAATAAAGTAGCAAAACAGAAACAAGGGGAATAATTACGTACTCCCTAAAAGAAAAGATGATCTAGTGTATTCATAAGGGGAAATGAAAAAAAATCAATATTTTAAATTGTTTACTAATAAATGGGCATTGTTGAATTGTTTTGAAATGGTTAGCAAAGGAGATCATATGGCTAAGCAATTGAAGAATTATAAAATTTTATAGTGACAGACTGCCATTGGTTCACATTGGTTCATTATGGTATGACTACTGTCAGAAAAAAATTCTGTTTCAACCCATTTTTATCTATCCTATCCTGCTGCTGTTCATTTTTGTTTTATTTTTCAAGTATTCTTCCACTTCTCTAGAAATAGTATTACTTATTCTGCTTCCATCATTGTTTCTGACAGGCTTGTTAGAACATGGTATGTCTTTGTTTGAAACAAATTCTGACAGTTAAAATATGTTCATGTATTGATTAATATTTCATTATTCGTTAGTACACGAAAGCCCACAGCTGTCATGCGGTGCATGTGTCCATTATATGACCGTAACAGACAACTTTGGATAGAATTGGCTCCAATGAGTATTCCACGCATTAACCATGGAATATTGTCAGCAGGTAAGAATGTGGTTCACTTACAGTTTACCATAGCAAATTGTCTAACGTGGGATTTCTTCTGTTAAGCATGCACTGTATACAGGCATTTATTAATCAATTAACTATTTAAAGTATTCGCTCTGTGTTATGCCTACCACTATAATTATTTACAATGTAATTCCTGAAGTAAGTACTTATGAAAGTGTAGTGCCTATGCATACTGTATTTGCTTTAAAGCAATTAAGAAGGCAGATGATTGAGCAATAAAAAAAAAAATTGAATCCTGGTTGCTGCTTTTGAGCTGTATTAAATTTCCTGAGGTATTGGATGTAACTTCTATTATTTTAGTATAACAAACAATTTATTTGTGGGTTCTTGCTTGAAGCTACAAGAATAAATTAGAGTTTTTCCTTGCTATGAGCCAAAAAAAACTCCATGTTTAGCCACTTCCAGAGATTATCATCTAATACACATTACAAGTGAGTAGGGTTTGGAATAGTTGATTTGAACACCCCTCAATACTCCTTGAAACATCACTTTGTAAAACTGTTAGTAGCTCTAAACAACTACTGCACAGTCTGGAATTTGGCTAGGCCATTGATGCATGCTGTCAAAAACTGCTGTTGTAGTCTTGCCAATAGTTGAACCATGTAAGTCAACATAATGGTTATTTTTCCCTTCTCTCTGCAAGCATGGTTTTGGCTGGTTTCAGGTCCAGTAATTTCCTTATTTGTGGATGGGGATTTCATTGGGCCTCTTGATTGAATAATTTAATATATAAAAATTAAGGTTGAGCTGGGACATTTTATATATTATTTAGTATATAAAATGTATAAAATGAAAATTAAATCAACAGCAATTCATCCCCCACCAAAGCCTCAACGCAGAAGTCTAAATCATACTTTTTGAAATAAGTCTTTTAATTTAGATTTGTGCTCTGTCCCCCAATAGTGGATGTGTTCTTTATCATCTAACAAAATTCCCTAGATCCTGGAATGTTCCAAACAGTTTGGAAAAGTGCACAAGTAACTCACCTGTTCAAGAAAGGAGGAAGTCAGAAAGTTGGGGCACTATAGATCAGTAAGCCTAAAATCTATCATCGAAGAACATGTTGGAATCCATTCTTAAAATGATGGTAACAAGTGTTATGTATGTAGTTGTACCCCTTTAAGGGAGCTGTCAAGTGATCTGGAGGAGCGGAGCTTGGGTCCAGTCTAGAACCAACTGTGGAGGTGCGAGCGTGGTCAATGAAGCATTCCTGTTCAGATTTACCATTGGTCTACATGGTATATAATTGCTAGTTCCAAAGGAAGCACCAAGAAAACAACTGGCAACAAGAGTGGGATTGGCCCACAAACTTTGTGCAAAGACTTTTTTCCTCTCTGGAGATGTCATGTGAACTTTAGAAACGGCAAGGTGTAATGTTAAGGGAAGCAGTCACAAAGGGACTCTGGCTGTGATCGACACCAGGAAAGAAGGTACTCCCCGGGGCGTGGCTGAGAGCAGCTCACGGAGGGTGGTCGCGAGGGGACTTGGGCAGCAAATGGCTAGTAGAGTGAATGGCAGAAAAAATTCCTGTTGGTGGGAAAACGAAATGATGGGCTAATTTGGGGGAATGGTAATATTTGATGAAGAGCCAGAAAATTGGACTTCGTACATGGAAAGCTTTAATTTGCTCTTAAAAGTGAACAGAGTGGCTGAGGACATCATCTTACTAGATTTTTTTAAGTAGCATTGGGAACAAGACCTTCATGATTCTAAGGAATCTAGTACAACCACAGAAACCCGTGGAGAAGGCATTCCAAGAGCTATGCAAAGTATTAGTAAATTATTTTGCACCCAAGCTGCTGATTATTTCAGAACATTTCCATCTTTACGGATGAGTCTAGCACAAAGAGTCCATCAGCCAATTTGTAGCCACCTTAAAGAGGTTAGAGGAACATAGCAAGTTCAGAGGGTTTTTCCAAGATGCCTTACAGGACCATTTGGTTTGTGGCCTCCAAAATGAAGTCATCCAATGGAAGCTACCAGCAAGGAGAGACATGGGTTTCAAGACAACTTTTGAAATTGCTCGCTTGGTGAAGTTGGACGCCAACGAAGCAACCCAGTTGGCTGTTGACGCCTGGGTGCATTAAGTAGTGGAACCTCAGCAGAGTGCAGTATCAACAGTAGAATGATGCTGATGTGGCTAGAGTGCCCACAAGGAGCCAGTGTGTTGGACTTGAGAAGCCCAGTGACTCGGGTGTAAGCGAGTTGGTCATTATTGCCTGAAATTGCCAGATACAACCCAAACAAGAGAAGGGGAGTCCGAAAGAAACAATCCTGAGAATAAGGAATAAGGTACATGCTGCCAGATAGGGAGTCACCTAGGTCTGCGAGAGAAGCGGAAGGCCTAGAGTCAGCAGTTTTGGTTAATTACCCTAGTTGATATGGGGTGAAACTGATCATTTCTGGGTTCTTCCCAAAGTAGAGGAGAAGACCATAAAACTGGAAGTAGATAGAAGTGCAGCGGTGTCCCTGATTCCAGTCACTCGGAGAAAGCAAGAACTGCTGATGCTGGAGTCGGAGTCAATACAGTGGAGGAACACAGCAGGTCAGGCAGCATCAGAGGAGCAGGAAAGTTGATGGTTCGGGTTTACACCCTTCATCAGGACTCAGTTGAGCTCTACACAGTATTGTCCCTGATTCCAGAATCACACTATAGGGAGAAGTTGAGAGCACTACCATCTGAAGCCTGCCCAGATTATGCAATGGACATACAAGGAACAAGTAGTGACACTGAAGGCCTATGTACTGGTGCTTAGTTAAGGGACCAGTGGGCAAATACTCTGCATTATTTGGACACTTCTGGTTACAAAAATTAAGGTTGAGCTGGGACATGATTAATAGGCTGATGGACTCAATCATGAGTTTGTAAGAAATCCTGGACAAATTACAAGAAATCTTCAGAGGAAATTAGAGGAGTCAAAATTGAATTACAGCTCAAGCCAGAGCCCCGTCCTGGGAATCTGAAGGCATGTCCAATACCAATCACCATCTGGCCTAAAGGGAATGACTGGTCATTCTGGGAGCGTTGGAACCAGTAACTACCAGTGAATGGGCCACTCCCATCATGCTGGTCTTAAAAACAGATGACATGGTGAGAATTTGTGTGGACTTTAAGGTCACAGTCAACCCAGCTCTAAGTATGGGTCGACACCAGCTTCCACTCTCAGCAGGCGTATTCAGTGGAATGCAAGGGAAAAAATTTTCCAAACTGGATCAATCACAGGCAAATGGGGGTTATGCTGCTGATAGTGATGCAAAGGACTTTTCTGCTACAAGCGACTTCGTTTTGGCATCATGTCAGCATTCCAGAGGGCCGTGGACCAAATATTAAGTGGCTTGCCAGGTGTACAGTGTTGTCTGGATAATACTTTGATGACTGGATCCTCTGAGGAGGAGCATTTGAAAGATTCAGAAGGAACTCTAAAAAGATTGCAGGAGCATGGCTTCCAAGTAAAAAGATAGAAGTACGAGTTTTTTTTTTTTTTTTGAGACTCCATAGTGTACTTGGGCCATGTAATTGATGGCAAGGGACAATACAAGGCTCCTAAGAAGATGGAGGCTATCATGAAGGCCTCTAGAAAGAGAATGTTGCTCAACTGAGATTGTACTTGGGACTTGTAAATTACTATGGCAAGTTCGTGTTTGATCTGGAAACCTCTGCGTTGGTTGCTAGGAAAAGAGTGGCCCTGGAAATAGACCCAGGAATGTGAGGAGGTGGCTTACCGGGAGGTGAAGCAAGCCTTAGTAAGTGTTAGAGATAGTAAGAACTGCAGATGCTGGAGAATCTGAGATAACAAGGTGTAGAGCTGGATGAACACAGCAGGCCAAGCAACATCAGAGG